CGAACCTTACAGTCAGTTTCTACGCCTTGGAAATTTAAAACATAGCTGGCTTTTCTCCTAGTACTAATAGAGGGAGTTCAGATATATCCATATACATCAGTGAATATTATTAAATCTCTATGAATGAGTCATTGAAAGCTTGATGGACCTCCATTCAGAATCCTTCTCCTCCTATTCTTTGTGATTATATCATTTCCATATAAAGCTTGTCATTACAAATCAACAATAAAACTTTCGGTTAGGATACAGAAAGATTCCCTCCCCAAATTCCTTGACCATGTGCATCAAGACCTGTTCACTATATAAACATGTTTTCGCCTAGTGCCATTGAAAAGCTTACAAAGCTTGCATCAAATTCAATTGCAATTTTTTTAGAATTCTAACAAGTGGAACTTGAGCTGTTAGCTGAGGTCTGGGATGCAGCTGTACCTGGGATAACTCTACAGGAGATGCCCTGCATCTCTGCTGAGCATTTGTACTATGTCGTTTGGGGAAAGAGGGTGTGATGTATTTATATTGCCAACTCCTCCTAGGGGAAGTTCTCTGTTGCTTAATTTTTTTTTTTTTCATTTTGTTTTTCAGTCATATTACAGTGGAACTGTATTGGTCTTTGGTATTGTTCATGTACGTCAATGTAAGAGGCTTTCTAGCCCTTTTGTATATTGTTACTCATATAAAAGTTCATCAGCTAAAGCAATCCTTTTCCTTGTGAAGAAAATGTGTGTTCATCCATGGGCTTTAGGTGGAGAGAGAACTGGATCAGCTAGGATTTTGCATCAGAGGTTGAATGCTGCAGGTAGAAAATTGCCTCTTTTTCCCTTCTGGATTAGAACGTTTGTGTGTCTTTTTTTCTGTAACTTCAGAAATTTAAAGCTTCATATGGCTGGGCACATCAGTTCCGGTCCTTCTGGATCATCTCTGACAGCTCGGGACACAGTAGGCTAGTTTGTTTTATGTGCAGTTATGGCTGAGTGAATTAATATCCCGCTTCAAACTGTAATGCAGTCAGTAACCACAACTTATTACTCCAATAAGCTGTGCCTACCACGGATGAGTCACCTCCCTTGTCCTTCCAACTTCCACCTTCAAGTCTAGGTTCCTGATTTCTAGCTGTTCAAAAAGACATTTATTCATCATGTCAACTGACCTTTAAGAATGTTCGGTGGACTGAATCAAACTTTCACAGAATAGATGGAATCAGTGATCATTCTGTTAGGTCTTTTACATCTCTGATTGCACTGATTTTTCTATCCTTTATAACTAATTTTTGTTAGCATTCTTAAAAATCTGGCTGTTCATAGTGTTCCCTTGCCAGTGAATTTATTGATCTTAGGCTGGTAAGCTATTATATACCAAGTTATCCCACCTGTCTTCTAAGAGAGCCCCAAGTGGCAAAGTAAAACTGCTTTATGTTGTAATAGTGGAAAATGAGCATACGTTATAGAAATGTAAAATACATTTTATTCCAAAGGTAACTGCTTATCAGGACAGAACATCAGATCCATCGAATTAGTTTCCTAAATTGTTCAGATATCCTAGGGACAAAGCATTAGAGAAAACAAAATATGACTACAGGCATACCCCGTTTTATTGCGCTTCGCAGATACTGCGTTTTTTACAAATTGAAGGTGCTGTGAACATTGTTGAAATGACAACAAAGGATTTAGAATATTACATAAACTTAGTTGATGAAGCAGCGGCAGGGTTTGAGAGGATTGACTCCAATTTTGAAAGAAGTTCTACTGTGGGTAAAATGCTATCAAACAGCATTGCATGCTACAGAGAAATCTTTCGTGAAAGAAAGAGTCAATCGATGTGGCAAACTTCATTGTTGTCTTATTTTAAGAAATTGCCACAGCCACCCCAACCTTCAGCAACCACCACCCTGATCAGTCAGCAGCCATCAACATCGAGGCAAGACCCTCCACCAGCAAAAAGATTACGACTCGCTGAAGGCTCAGATGATGGTTAGCATTTTTTAGCAATAAAGTATTTTTTTAATTAAAGTATGTACATTGTTTTTTTAGACATAATGCTATTGTACACTTAATAGACTACAGTATAGTGTAAACATAACTTTTATATGCACTGGGAAACCAAAAAATTCGTGTGACTCGCTTTATTGCGGTGGTCTGGAACCGAACCCGCAATATCTCCGAGGTATGCCTGTACTTAGTAACATCTGATTAAAACAAAAATTGAGTTTTTACTTCTTGGCACAAAAACATGAGATGAAAGTGAGAATATGTGGAAGATAAAACAAATATTTACCTTTTAAATAATAGGATTGTAGGTTGGGATAGACCTAGGCATTTTACAAAGTGGCTGCAGTTTCTTCATGCATCTGATGAAGAGAGTTTCAGCTCGCAAAAGCTTGTTACACACACACACACATACATGCGTATGCACATGTTAGTTTATAAGGTGCACATCTACTTTGCCCTTTGCAGTATCTCTGCCACTGAGGTTGGCAAGAAAGTACTCACTTGATGAGAGAGAGAGTAGTGCATTTATTCTTTACCTGGCTCTCCTTTTTTGTAGAGAGGAGTCAGGATAGCACAGCAGTGGTGCTCTCGGATTCCAGCTCCACACAGGACATCTTTAATGAGCCTGCCAGTTCTCAAGACAGTTTGAGGAAACCTTACTCGGAAAAGAGGACTGCTGCTTCCTGCTCTGAGACTATGGCATCATGCAAAGAGATTCTAGGGTCTGCAGAGGAAAGAGGTATGATTGTTTTAAGATATAATTTAGAGCAGTTTATGCAACTTTATTAAAATGCTTTATTCAATCTACAGAAGAATTGGAAAGTTACTAAACTATGCCTATGGATTTTAATTGGATATGCAAGTGTATTGTGTGCATGATTGTTTTTTTTTAAACATGCCAGAATGAATTGGGTATCATACATGTAGTTGGGCTATCACTGGCATAAGATGCAAGAACAATATTATAAACAGAAGAATCGTGTGATAAGTTGCTTTGTATCAGCCCTCTTTGACTGACTTGCTATTAGTCAGTCTCTGCCAACACTACTTCTAATATTTCAAACTTCTGAGCATCTCAAGCAGCAGATAAGTTAATACACTGTCTCTCAAAAATGTTTTTCCTCTGTTTCCCAGATGTAGATTTAGTCCCTTGTTTTTTGATGCTGGAACAGTAACAAATTAATGTTCATTATTTTGCAAAGCACGCATACTGGAATTGCATCTTTATTCCGTGGGAGACCTGAAACCCTTTCTACTGGAATACAAACATTAACCTGTGGTTCCACTGGCTCATTCAGTGGTGTTATTTTGGGTGAAAATAATTGTTGTAAATAATTTTTTTTGATTTTCCAGTATCTATTAGTTAGAATTTCCCTGTCTGATGCCTGCACAGTGAGTTAGTACTAAATCCACTGGGCTTCATTAAAGAAAGGTAAATGAATAGCAAGAGCAATATATCCATGTAAAGCTTTCTAAAATGTTGATGTTTTTTCTTGTGAAATATGTGGCATGAGCAAAACGTACAATGTAGTATAGCAGTTTTATGGGCACGTATTCATGAGCACGTATAGGTGCTATCCGAAACTGAGGCCTGACAAAACATTTCTGCCATTTTGCACTATGCTTTATTCTCTCCCTCCATAATATTGTACCAGGTTTTTCAGTTTTATGGATATACAAAGTGTGATCCATAGCTGGCTGTGATGCATTCCATTATTCTGTTCTCATTGGAGACACACCCTTAGCAATTACTGATTTCAACATTTTGCATCTCATCAATGTTTTGGCAAATTTTGGCAAGTTTTCTTATTTTTAATTAGGTGTTTCTTAAGGCTGGTCTAAACGAAGGAAATTTGTGTCAGTATAACTAGACCTATCTATGCACACAGGTGCAGATCGCTGAATGTGCAAAATAGTATTGCCACTAGTGTGACTAATGTCAATAATATCCCAGAGTAAGTTGCTCTGGGGTAAGCACCGTGTTATAACATTGCAGTGTTCCTTGTATTAGGTTTTCAGTGGTATAGCTTTATCGTTGCTAGTATTGACAGATACAGACAGTGTTTGGAGTGACTGATAAGCAGTGGGATACCAGGGCTTTTACTTACTGTTCACTACTATAAATGTTTTCTGGGTTTATAGTGATTTAAGCTGCTGGAATTTTATGGGTTTTCAGAAGCTGATTTTTATATCTGTGTAACAGAGAGCCTGGTGCTCCCTGTTCCTTTAAGATAAAAGCAGCCCAACCAGGGAGCAGTGCAGGCTAGGCAGGGTGCAGCAGTTGCTGGTTGCCAGGGCCACAGAGCAAATGAGGCATTCAGTAGGCATGTGCAGGTAACCTGCTGATGGGAAGTGTGCAGGGCTATGGGAGCATATAAGCCTGAGGCTTGGGCTGGCAAGCTAGTCTAGCCCTGCCAGCCACCGAGTTAGGAGCTCCTGCCCAGCAGAGCTACCCAGAGATGCGAGGCTGTCTGCTTTGCTGCCTGCAGGAACACTGAGGCTCAGCGAGCTTGCAAGGAGTCCAGGCTGGGAGGGTGCTGGCACAAAAGGTGAAGGAATGTTTTCCCTCTTAAAGGGGCAGAAGGCTGCTTCTCATTTATGTTGTAGCCCAGGAGCGTAGTGTTCATTACAGTTTACGTTGGCAGTTTGGTTTGGGACTGTAAGGAGTGGTATACGGAGGTCCCACTGGTGCCTGTGGGGTGCATGATCACCTTGAGTCCTGCCAGGGGCAGGCTTACGGCAGGAGCAGCTGTTGATCCTAGAGAGAGGCAAAGTGCAAGGCCACAGAGCGAGACGGGCCTGAGGCCCAGTGCCTGAGAGGGCACTGCCACACAGGGGCCTGGGACTTGGCAGACTGGGGCCAGGGGCCCAGTGACAGGAAGGAATGAACCAGAGCTAGTGCCTCAAAGCCAAAGCTGACACAGTGGGACCAGGCTAGAAGACCTAGCGAGAGTAAAGGGGCAGAGGCCAAGGAGACCGAAGCCCCATCAGATGAACAAAGGTACAACACCCACGAGGCTTGGGGCATGGTGTAGCAGAGGATTGGTGCCACATGATTAGCCCCTAAGGCTTTGGCTGCCCTGAGGGGCCTGGGACAAGAGTGGCCCAGTGAGGGGCCAGTTGAACTGGGGTCACGGGCAGCCCCCTAATTATTATTACTAGTATTCTGTCCAGGCGTGGTAGGCGAGACGGTAACGTGCCCTAGGAGCAGAGTGGGGCACAGTCGTAGAGCCACCAGGGGGTTTTGTGGCCACCCTTGGGACCCCAACTTGCTATAGTCTTGCATAAACATGTGTGCACTGTTGGCATTCACCAGAGTATATGATATATGTGAAAAGGACCTTTCTAATCCAACTCCCTCTTTGGCTATCCTCAATACAAGGATGTTGTTTACTGGGGGGGGGATTACTGGTGAGTTTTAAGATGATGAGCAGTCCAATTTGTGTTCTGCAAGTGTTTCCACAGATATAACAGGTGGTGCCTTGGAGGCAGGGGGCAGAGGGGGACACAGCTTTTGGCCAGGCTGTTGTGGACTTTGCTTCCTCCTCTGCTGTTTCTCAGCTTCCTGAGCAAGACTGTTCTCTTCAAAGTGTACCGTAGCTTGATGTATGGTGCAGCGCCATTGAGACCTGTTACCACCCAGCACTTCCCCTTTTGTAAGGTTGATGCTGCCCTTCTTCAGATGTGGTTTCAGTGTGTCCTTGTAGCACTTCCTCTGTCCTCCGTGGGTCCTCTTACCATGACTGAGTTGAGAGAAGAGGACTTGCTGCAGGAGACGAGTGTCAGTCACCCACACACAGTGGCCAGCCAGTGGAGTTGATGTTTCATGTTCTTTGCCTCAGTGCTGGTTATATTACCTTCAGAGAGGATGCTGACATTGGTGCAGTGGTCTTCCCATCTAATGTGAAGGATCTTCCTGAGGCACCACTGATGGAGCTTAAGATGACTTTGATATGTCACCCACATCTCGCGTCCATAGAAGAGTGTGGGGATAAGCACTGCATTGTATTGTAGACCAGGTTCTTTGTTTCCATCTGCAAATCTGAGTTGGCAAAGACATGGTGAAACAGCTTTTCAGGGGACACACTGGCACAGTGAATCCTATGCTTGGTTTCTACATCAAGACTGACTGACGGGGGGAGGTGGCTGCCAAGGTATGGGAAATGTTCAGTGTTTTCCAGGGGTTCTCCACCAATGGTTATTTGTAGGGAGAGGGGGGCAGCTTGTTCTGGGGTAAGCTGACAACACCTCAGTCTTCCCAATGTTACAGGAGTGTCCTAAGCTATGATAGGCACATGAAAAAAGGTCAAGGGTGGACTGCAGATCAGTCTCAGTGTGCACAAGGATAGCACAGTAGTCGGCGTACTGAAGGTTGGTGATGTCAGTCTTGGTAACTTTCATTTTGCTGTGGCGGCACTGCAGGTTGAAAAGCTAACCATCCGTTCAGTACTCAACTCCAGTTCCGGGAGGAAGGCAGTCACGGATAAGAATCTAAATTGCAGCAAGATAGGTGGAGAAAAGGGTTGGGGCAGTGATGCAGCCCTGCTTGACACCAGTACAGATAGTAAATGGGTCCATCTGATGCATTGCAAAGGACTGTGATGGCCATCCCATCATGGAGTAGCCTGAGGACACTGAAGTTCAGTGGACAACCAAATCTGGCTTCACGATTGATGGAATCAAAGGCCTTGGTTAGGTCAATGAATGCCATAAACAGCTCTTGGTGTTGCTCTCTACACTTCTGGATCTGTCATGCAACAAAAATCCTGTCGGTGGTACCCCGTGATGGTCTAAACTTAACTGGGATGCTGGAAGGACATCTAATCCAACTACTAATGTAACAACACTATCAAGACAGTATAGTAAATTGAGATGATTGCTCAAATTTGACAGATTTCCTGCTGCCCATTGGAGGGATTAAGGTATTAGAATGACTAGAACTTGCTGAGGATTATTAAACTTTTCTGTTTGTTTTGAAATAGTGCATAGTGGGTAGCTTGAAAATGTCTCTAAAACTCTCAGCCTTTAAAAAGGTCTTCCTCAAACTGGAATGATTGAGACTCACTGAATGTGTTAAACAGTTCTGGATCAAAATACGATTATAAAATAAATAGTGCTTTAAAACCATTAAATATAACGATTTTCCCAAGTTTTCACAGCTTCTGTGTGTGTGTGTATGTAAAATGATTTTCCCAAGTTTTCAGTGTGTGTGTGTGTGTGTGTGTGCGCGCACGTGCACACACACACACGTCCTACTTGGAATGTTGTGTTCCTTTCTCATGTATAGATTTTTCAAAAGGACAATGAAGAATCTGAGAGGATTCAGAAAACAGCCTCAAAAATAATTCATGTGGAAAACATGTTTTATAAAGAGAGACTCAAAAGAAGCTCAGTCTTATCAAAGAGAAGGTTAACAGTCACTTGACTATGGTCTTTCAGTATCTACTGTTCCTAAATCATATGATTCTAAAATTGTCTTCCTCTTAATAGGTAGTTAAAATAGTAGTATTTCACTTATCAAGACAACAGCATTATCCCTTGTACCTTTTGGTGTCCAATTCTGTTGTAAGGATTTTTTTGTGCTTTCTCCCCACCTTCCTTATTTTATGACATTATATAAATTCTTGCATGGGTTACTGGTGAATAAAAGGTCCTGTGTGAAGGAGGTAATAAAGGTAGCTATTTCCATTTATCTGGGATCTGAAGATGATTTGCTCATTAAACACCGCAAGCAGTCATGTACATATCAAGGAAGTACACGGATGATTCTGCATGTATTTTAATGGAAAAAAAGTTTTTCAGTACATGCGATAGTAAAAACATAAATGCTGAGTTTTGTTAATTTGTCAGTTACAGGAAAGTCAGAAGAACCTGCAGAGAACTCTGAATCTTACGCAACTGAGCTTGGTGGCCAAAAATGTCATTTAGATACCCCGGCATCATCTGGCAATCCCACTAAAGTTACCATCCCCCCATCTTTGCAGTGGGACTGCAAAAAGAAAGCAGAACCTGGTGCAGATGCATCTGAATTTCCCCAGGGTCTTCCAGCAGATCTTGAGGAGCAGCGCAAGTTTCTGACAGAGCAGTGTATTGCCTCCTTCTGTTTATGTCTGAGCCGTTTTCCTCAGCACTACAAGAGCCTCTACAGACTGGCCTATCTGTATACATACAGCAAAACACACAAGGTGAGCACAACTGAACAGAATAGCTGGCGAGCTGTGTTTAAAACCAAACCAGGTGATTACAGTTTGCATGGTAGTTCCTATTGGCTAAGAGGACTTCTCAAGTTAGCTTTTATTAAGTACTGCAAGCAGAAGTGTTTCACTCCAATTTGGATTGGGTTAACATTAAGCATGGGGAAATCTCTTTCTACCAAACTCTCTCATATCCTTGTATTAGAGCAATGAAGCATCCAAGAAACCTGCATCTATGTAGAGGCGGGACTAGATGACCCTTCAGGGTCCTTTTCTCCCTATGATTCTAAATTGAAAACTCTTGTTTTGTTGCTAATGCAGGTTATTTTTCCCCTGTCTGGAGAATTTTTTCAGGAAAGCATAGTTTGTTCGTAAAGAAACGCTTGTAAACATGACAACAATAATTTCTTACCTATGCTGAACATCTGATCACAGTGCACTTAAGTGATTTAACTTCTGTATAAATTAGGCTTTTCTTCTGTAGAATGAAGATACTGTTACTTACCTATCTCCAAGGCATAGGGAAAACTGTTAAATAAAGGCTGAAATTTAAAAATCACATGTGCAAAATTGCATGGCCACTTTTGTTTAAGAGGCGAACATTATGCACAGGAAACCTGAGGATGAATGTACAGCAGTATGTTTTCAGTTCAGTTTTTAATTTTAAGTTACTGGTTTTATGTTTTTGTTGGAAAAATGAATTAAAGTAATAAACGTATTAGTTGGTGCATGTATGATAGCAAGAAGAGCCATTTTCCAAAGGGGTACTTGAATATGCTGAAAATAAGTTTCAGCTTATCCTCAGTTGTGAGTATAGTATCTCAAGACTCAGATTCAAGATGTGTGTTAAATAGGAGCCCAGGAGAAAGCAAGCTGAAAAACTAGGCTTGGTTTTCCACTCCTGTGCTATCTGGAGTTGGGAGAAGAACTACAGAGGTTGGGTTCTCATTTTGAGATACTGAAATATGGTTGCTCAAAAACTGTGCTTTCATGGAAACGCTCAGAAAAGGGAAAGCAATATGACACAATTCTGAAGGTAGAAGCATTATATCTAACTACATTTGCATACTTGATAAGGTCCAAGATTTTATAACTGGAACACATTTCTCCTATCTCGTAGAAAGACATGCAGTTCAAAGTCATCCTTACTGGTTAGTATAACCAGCTGATGTATAACATACATAGATGTATATATTAGCAGCCACTAAAGAGTGGTGCAAATAAGTAATAGGACTTGTGGAAAGTTTGTCTCCTCTTTGATTATGCAGCCCAAACTGCTAAACAAGGAACCTACATGTCTGAATCTGCCACTTCTGTGATCTATATGTATATCCCCCGAGAGGACCAGTCACTGAATAAAAGCCACTCAAGGATTTTAATGCAGTTCTGAATTGGACTATTGCTCTATAGCCTTATGGTGTTGGTTTAAATGAGGCATTTCAGAGTCTTGTGCAATATAATGAAAGTAGTGCCCTTCTGAGATACGTAACAGAATTGTTCTCTTCTTTGCACATTCTTTTTTGGTAGAAATAATATCCAAAGACCTCTGTCACAACTTGTCTCACTTGATTTTTAAACTCTTTCCTTTTTTTCTTTTTTTAGATTTCTTGTATTTTATGTTTAAGCCAGGTAACCATATTTCTGCAGAGGACTCTCTCTTCCCTTCATAATCAAGTAGCGTACAAAGCGCATTGAGTTTTGATCTTTGCAAATACGGATTTTTTTGAGTAGCTCATGCATGTCTTATCCTTTTCTTTTAAGGATTTTGTGCTTATGAGAAATATTTGGTCACCTGTAGCTAGTGTGAGGCAAAGTATACTGTATTCAGGTGCTGTGAAAGTTTCTTCTTACATTTCTGTAGTCCATCTGAGGTGGGACTTTGGTTACCTCTCTTGCAGCCCTTGGCCTTTGAGTAGCAGCTGCCAGTGCAATCTAGTTTGGAAAGTGGTTTTTAAATGTTCGTAAATAAGAGTTAGGAGTGCACCGATAGAGACTTTTTAGGCTGATACTGATGGCTGATTTTTAAGGCAACATATCAGCCGATACCGATCCGATTGCCAATATGTGGCCCAGTGGTAAGTCTGTTGTGGGGGAAGGGGTGTGGCAGGGTGGAAGATAGAGACCCCTGCAGTGAGTTTGGGAGTGGGGCTGGGGCAGGTGCTGCCCAGTCGGGGTCGGGCATGGAACGGAGCCACAAGTGGCTCGTGCAGGAGGCATGCGGGGGGCGGCTCCCACCCTGCATGCACCACAGGGGAGGGCATGGGGGGGGGTGTGCTCCCAGATCTGTGTGTGCGGTGAGGATGGGCTGCTGCTGCAGGCTGAGGCCAGGGCAGTGCTGAGCTTTTCCCAGTGGGGGCTGGGCTGGGCTGCGGTCAGTGTGGGCAGCAGCAGTGCTGAGAGAGGGCTATGGTGGGGGGCTGTAGCCACCTTAAAATTCCCCATGGTCCCCCCAAAGCCTTCCTGCCAGCGCTGCCACTGCTGCCTGCCCCTAACGCAGCCTGGCCCAGCCCCTGCTGAGAAGAGCTTGACGATGCCCTGGCCACAGCCCACAGCAGCAGCCTGCCATTACCCTGTGCGCAGATCTGGGGTCACATGCTCCCCATGCCCTCCCAGGATGCATGCAGCAGCAAGAGCTGTCCCTTCCATGCCTCCCAGATGAGCTGCTTACGTGCATGCCGTGCCCTGCCCCAGCTGGGCAGGCCCTGCCCCAGCCCTACTCCATCCCTCCCTCACCACTGTTTTTCACCAGTCCCAAGGGACATCCCTGCCCATTACGGGATGGAAAGGAAATCTGCCTAATGAGGGAGATTCCTTACCCTCCACCAATGCTGACCTTGTGAAGGCACACCTTGAGAGGCTGGATACCTTCAAGTCATCTGGTCCTAACAGTTCACACTCCAGGGTACTCAAGGAGCTGGCAAGCATCACAGTTCAGCCTGTGGCACAGATTTTTGAGAATTTCTGGTGCTCTGGTGAAGTGCCCAAAGATTGCAAGATGGCCAAAGTATCTTCAGAAAAGGGAGGAAAGTGGATCCGGCAACTGCAGGCCCATCAGCCTGACCTCTGTTCTGGGGAAGGTCTTAGAAAAGATTATCAAAGGGACCACTCTTAACAGACTGGCCGATGGCAACATCCTGAGGGATAGCCAGCACAAGTTTGTTGCAGCTAGGTTTTGCTTGACCAGACTTATTTCCTTTTCCAACAAGGTGACCTATTACCTGGACAAGGGAGAAGAGATTTATGTCATATATCTTGACTTGAAAAAAGCCTTCGATCTGGTATCACATGATCACCTCTTAGCAAAACTGGCCAACTGCAGCCTTGGCTTCACCACAATCCCCTGGCTGAGGAATTGGCTCCGTGGTTGGACCCAGAGTGTGGTGGAAGTCAATCGTCATGGTGCACTGTGACCAGTGGGGTCCCCCAAGGCCCTGTCCTTGGGCCTATACTATTCAACATCTTTATTAATGATGTGGACATTGGTATCAAAAGCGGACTGGCCAAGTTTGCCGACGACACCAAACTTTGGGGTAAAGCGTTTACACCTGAGGACAGGAGGGCGATCTAGGCTGACCTTGACAGGTTCAGGAAATGGGCAGAAGAGAACCTGATGGTGTTTAACACTGA